AAGACTAACCACTTTTACAATGTGCTGCTCATTTCAACTGTTGTAAAAAGTGAAATCCCAGAGGTTTTCTGCTCAGTCACTTGATGGTCGTCTTGTGAGATTGTGAGATTAAAAAACTAGACCTCAATTTACACGTGTGGATTCACATTTCACACCTGGCTCTTTTCCAGGAGTTGATCTCATCTTATCCACAAACATTAGAAATCAAGCACACCAAACTGGGACTGACATCACGTAATTTGCCACTTTAGCTAAGTCCCAATTAACTGTGTGAAAGTTTCCATGGTCTGTCTACTGCAAGTGTTCTGGGTGATAATTCTCCAAGCAAAACCTTGCTTCATCTTCCAAATTCAAAGAAACAAACCAACGCACCAACAACAACAACCAATAAACATCTTTCTTCCTAGAACCCTTTAGTTGTATCTGTTGAAGTGCATGAACATGGCGCCAGTTTTTCCCCCCTCCCCTGCCATGGCTCGGAAAATACTGAGCCTTTCCTATAAAATCTTTGTCTAGCTTCCCTTGTCAAATGGCATTTTGCTTGAATTGAAAAATATAAAATAAAGCAAAAAACTAAGATTTAAAAATTATAGCCTGCTTCTGTAGCTGTTGTTCAAATCACAAACTACCAGCAAATCCTTTTGTATTAGTTATACTGAATTTGTAGCAGTCTGCACTGTGTGAAGTGGCTGGCCGTCCCTGGGGAGGAAGAGTAAGCCTGAATGGAGGGAAATAATTAAAGTTGCAATATCCCCTTTTGTAAATGAAAACAAAATGTGGACCTCCCTCCTGGACCTAATCTCAGAAACTGCAGGAAGACAGAATGCATTTGTAGAATCTTGATGAGAAACAAAGTTCAGTGACTTCCGTCCTACTATGCAGAACTTAAGAGCTCTGGTGGTGTAGTGGTGAAAGGTTTTGGCTGCTAACCAAAAGGTTGGCGCTTTGGACCCACCAGCCGCTCTGTGGGAAAAAGATGTGGGAGTCCACTTCCGTAAAGCTTACCACCTTGGAACCCCTGTGGGGCAGTTTCACTCTGTCCTCTAGGGGCGCTGTGAGTCAGTATCCACTCCACAGCAGTGGGTGTGGTTTGGGCTTTGCTTTCATTGAGAGCCTTGGAAACCCCATATGGGGCAGTCCCACTCTGTCCTGTAGGGGCGCTGTGAGTTGGAATTGACTCAAAGGCAGTGGGTTTGTTTTTTTTGGTAATGAATGCCTATCTTGAGTTCTATTTTGTCCTTTTTAGTAACATCTCTTAAGGATGAAGAGAATATCTGCTGAGAAGGAATGAACACAGGAATGTTCTGTGACTTGTCAGTTAAAACCCTAACTCTTTTTGTACCTGACTAGAATGCCTGTGGAAGTGGATGTTTTTGCCTGTTTTGCAGAGAATCCAGAATCCTTATTTCAAGAACAGTTATTGGTTAAGGCCAAGGAGCCCTGGTGGTGCAACAATTAAGTGTTCGGTTGCTAACTGGAAGGTTGGCAGTTCAAATCTACCCAGTGGATCTGTGAGAGAAAGACCTAGGTATCTTCTCCCATAAAGATTATAATCTAGGAAACCTTAAGAGGCAATTCTTCTCTGTCCCATGGGGTCACTATAAGTCAGAATGGGCTCAACTATACCCAACAACATTGCTTAATCCCCTTCTTTGAGATCACCAACCACATACTGGATCCAACTTTGGAATTCTACTTACTGAGGATTTGTTTTGCTGTAATTGTTGGTCCATTATCTTAAGGTACTGAGAAGAAACTGGTTGTGAGTGTCTGTTTTCCTGGTGGAAGGATTCTTTGCTTGGCTTTTTTCAGTGAAATAATTTGAGATGGAGTTTGGTGAAGATCACACAGTTGATCCGAACTCTCTCAAGGGTCAGTGAGAGGTGATAGGATGATTGAAAGAGTGACTAGAGTCTGGACAGGACACCTTCAGTCTTGGGGTTTGCTGAAGCCTCCCCACACTAGAGGGTATAGATTTCAGTGGGGAGGTATCAAGACAGGCCTTGTCCCTTATAGATTTCTAGGTCTCTAGGCACTTTGCAGTACAGCAAATTACTTAATATAGCTCTTGTAGCCATGGTCTATTTATTTATTTGTGATTTGGGTGAAAGTTTACAGAGCAAATTCACTTTCCATATAGCAGTTCACACACACGTTGTCTCATGACATTGACTACAATTTACTCCAATGCAATAGCTCCCCTCCCACTTCCTCCCGATAGTTACCTCTTCCCTGTGTCCATCCCTCCATGCACTCCTGCCCCCTGAGCTGTCTCCCTGTGCATAAGCAGCCCTTCTTTCTCCCATGATTGTTCTCACCAAGGAGTGTGTCTACCTCAGATACATGTTCAACTCTTATGCCTGTCTTTTGTTTGGATGGAAGCCATAGGTGTGGGTTCAATTCCAGACCTGAAGGGCAGCTAGGGACCAAACCTGGTCCCCCCCCCTTTTTTTTCCAAATGATTTTGAGTTTTGTTCCACATTGTTCTCCCTCTCTATCCAGGATCTCCTCCATAGATCCTCCTCTGAGTTGACATTGGTAGCCAGGCACCGTCTGGTTCTTCTGGTCTCATAGTCATATAGGCTGAGGATTGCATGGTGTAGCAGTCACGAGGACTAATTGTTTCCATGAATCTTTGGTTTTCTTCATTTTTCTTTGCTCTGGACAAGGAGAGACCCATCATTGCATCTAGATGGCCACTTGCAAGCTTTTACGATCCCAGTCGCTACTCGCCAAAGTAGGAGGTGGAACAATGTTTTGTGCAGTATATTATGCCAATTGAGCTTGATGTTCCCTGCAACTATGGTCCCGAGCCCACAGGTCCAACTACTCACTCCCTCTGGGTAGCTGGCTGTGACCAAGAAGTAACTAGAAAGCCATGACTCCTACCAGCTGACTGGGTGGGACTATGCAAATGTGAAGTGATTGTGGCCCACCAAGGGGATTGGGTAGCTTGCTTATAATGTAATAAGGTACATGGAACCTTGTGTAGGTGGGCCCATACAAATAAGGTATGTGGAGAGTTTTTTCTATCCTGCTAGGCTTAAAATGAGCCATCGCAGAGGCACAAAGGAGGGAATTCTCATCAAGAAAGAAGAGCCAGGAATGCAATGTATCATTTGGACCTGAGATCCCTCTGCTAAATCTCCTTGACCCAGGATACAAAGAGCTGTAATACTTTGCTGAGACAGAAGAGAGGCAGCAGCTGAGTGTGCAGTGGGCGTCCCAGCCCGTGGAGTGAGACAGCTGAGTGCCTTTGGGCAGGAGCCTTGCTGGTGGAATGGGGTGCTTCCCTAGGCGTGTGTTGGCAAAACTAAAAGAGCTTTCTAACACTTGTCTAAACAGGGCAGAGGCTGAGGAAAGAGAGAAGCAGCTGAGGAGAAGCTGTACTAATTGAAGAACTGTGTCCTGAGTTGTTTTCGAACCTGAATTGTAACCTGTTACTTCTCTACTAAATCCCATAATTCTGAGTTTTGTCTGTGAGTTCTGTGTGGCCATATCAACATATTAATGAAACCAGCAGAGAAGTAGAGAGAGCCTTGGGAGGGATGGTTGGTGTCAGAATTGGTAGTTTGCAGGGTGGCAGCATGAGTGACCTCTGCCTCATAGGAATCAGCCTTGGGCTGTTGCTGTTTATTTTGATCCTCCTCCCCAGTCATGAAAGAGCTCTGGTGATGCTGTTAAGTTTAAAGCATTGGGTTGCTAACCAAAAGATTGGCTGTTCCAATCCACCAGCAGCTCCACGGGAGAAAGATGAGGCAGTCTGTTTCTGCAAAAATTGACAGCCTTGGAATCCCTAAGAGGCACTTCCACTCTGTCCTCTAGAGGCGTTGTGAGTTGGAATCTACTCGACAGCAGTGGGTGTGGTTTGGGCTTTGTAAAGACTGACAGCCTTGGAGACCCTCTGGGGCAGTTCCACTCTGTCCTCTAGGGGCGTTGTGAGTCAGAATCGACTCCACAGCAGTGAGTTTGGTTTGGGCTATGCTTCTGTAAAGATTGACAGCCTTGGAAACCCTCTGGGGCAGTTCCACTCTGTCCTTTAGGGGCTCTGTGAGTCAGAATCCACTCCACGGAAGTGGGTTTGGTTTGGGCTTTGCTTCTGTAAAGATTGACAGCCTTGGAGACACTCTGGGGCAGTTCCACTCTGTCCTCTAGGGGCGCTGTGAGTTAGAATCAATGTGACGACAGTGGGTTGCTGCTGTTATTCCCTTATCGTGAAATTGAGGAGGTCAGACACCACCATCCTTTGCCCTTTTTGAAGCACCAGAGGTCTCCATCTATATCTGAGTGGATGGCAGAGCTTGAATAGTAAAGGCCATCATAGACAACAGGTTTACCTGCTAGGAGGGAAAGCAGAAAAGAATATCTTGGTTCTCCTTTAAATAAAACTTTATTGAAAAATGCAAGGGAAATCATTGATGAGAATTGGTATTAGACCACTTTTGTTTCAAACAATCCCCCCACTTTTTTTTTTAACTCAAGTTTAATTCTTTTAATGGGGTGTAGTCTGAACTGTGGAAGGAAAAGTGATTCCCTCAAGTATAATAGTATTCCTTTGAAGTCTGTTATGAGAATTACCTCACTTTTTCAAAGCCAAAGAAGGATCTTGATATTACAGTAGTCATATTTATGCTGCTTTAGGTACAACATTAGATTCCATTTGTCTTCTTAAAGTGTTTGCTGTTATTTTAGATAATCCAAGGCTTATCCCAATTTATACAAGGGAAGAAGGATAAAGAAAAATGCACAGAAAATCAACAAGTATTTATTTAGCCATTAGTTATACCACCCTTTGCAACTAGCTCTGTTCAGGCTTTCTGGAAGAATGAAAATCATTTTAAGCTTACTTTTTCTTGCCCAGTTCCTATGTATGACTCAATTTGCTTAAAAATGTGGATTTAAGAATGGACCGTGGATATAAGAATGGAGGCTGAATTCAAGTAACCATTGAAAAATAGGCGATGTGATCAATTCTTCTGTGTCGTCCTTCCCCCATTTAGGATATTCATGCCGGTTGGTGTCACAGAACATGGCCCTCATCCTACTGAAGGAAGAGTCTTTGGATGTAAGTAGCTTTGCCAAAGTTGTGTTTGATAATAACTTTAACAAATGATTTATTTATTTCTAATATGATTGATAGGTGCTCTGGTGGCATAGTGCCTAAGACATTTGACTGCTAACCAGAAGGCTGGTGGTTCAAACCCACCAGGCACTCCACAGAAGGAAGGTTGGGCAGTTTACTTCTGTAGTGACACTGCCTCAGAAACCCAAAGAGGGGTTGCTATGAGTCAGATCCGACTCAACAACAGTGTGTTGCGTTTGTGTTAAATATGATTGATAATCAAGGTTTTTGTTTTTGCTAGAAAAGAACTGTAAAATTACTATGTAAACGTATGTTTTTTGTGTTTAGGAACAAATGTCATACAGGGGTATCTTTAAATATCAAAATAGTAAGCTTACAATATCGTTTCCTGATAAACTTTATTTTACTTATCTGCATTGAACAGGGGACAGTTTTCTTTTAATCTAGTTGAACTTTAATAATTCAATTTGAAGTGTGAATGAGATCTAGTATGATTTACGTTAAGTTGGAATCAACTTGATAGCGGTGGGTTTGGTTTTGGAGTGGTGGTTAAAAAACACACAAGGCCGCCGTGCGTCAGAATCATTTTGATGCCAGCAGGTTTAGGCTGATTGTTTAGTGCTGGCTAACTCCGTTGTAGGTTAATAACGAGACTTGTAAGAGTTTCCTTGTAACTGAAACTTAAAATAACGATAATACTCATGGTCAGGAGTTGTTTAAATTTTATAGTCGTAGGGAACATAAGCCTATGACTTATGTGAGTTCATAGAAAATTAAGCAGCCTCACTATCCAAGTGTTTTATAGACTTGTAAGGACCCTCTCATGACCTAAAGCCATTGATGAGACCAGGAGCGGGAGCTGAGCTGAGGATAACCAGAAACGTGTCAGTGGTTTGATATAAAAATATGAGCTTAACACACCAGATGTCATTTCTTGGGACTTTCAGCAAGGGGCTTTTTACTGACAGGCACAAGCAGTCACTCTCCCCTGCAGTGGATTTAAATGCCAGTGCTAAGAGCAGATCACAGGCTTGGTTATCATGGTGGACATAAAGCATAGAGATTTCCAGGCTTGCAAATGGATGAGGCCACCAATCCTAATGTGAAAGATAAAAATCAAAAAAGCCCAAACTCACTGCCATTGAGTTGATTCTGACTCATAGTCACCCGCATTGGGTTTGCAAGGCTGTAAATCTTTGCAGAAATAGATTGCCTCATCTTCCTCCCACAGAGCAGCCGGTGGGTTTGAACTACCTACCTTCTGGTTAGCAGCCAGATGCCTTACTTGCTACATCACCAGGTCACTCTATACCCCTGTTCAACTTCAACAGCAGGAGTCAGGAAGAGAACACATGAGCTACGTGTGCTTAGGGCTATACCTTTCTCCTCCTTGCCTTCAAACCATTCTCAGTGAGATACCATTCTCTGGCTTGAGTTCTTCAGTATTCATCTTAGTATTTTCTCGTACTTGTCTGTGTCACTGCCTATGGGAAGCCCAGCACAACCAGGTCATCCCTTATCTTGTGAACTCTCCCTCTCACATGGCTATATGATAGTGAGGAGGCCTCTCTCTACCCAAGTGTTCCCTTCTACCCAACACTCACACTTGCCTTCATTTTCCTCTGTACCACTCTTCATCATTGTCTGTCTCACTCTAAGGAGCTCTGGTGGTGTAGTGGTTAAGGCATTTAGCTGCTAACCAAAAGGCCAATGGTTCAAACCTACCAGTCACTCCATGGAAGAAATATGAGGCAGTCTACTTCCATAAAGATTTACAGCCTTGGAAATCCAGTGGGGATTGCTATAAGTTGGAATTGACTTGATGGCAGTGAGTTTGGTTGTTTTTTTTTTTTTTTTTTTTTACCTTTTGGCTGTCTTCCTCTAGTCATTTAGAATGATAGCTCCATGGGGCAAAAATTTCATATTTTAACTGGGTATCACCACGCACAAGATGGTGCTTGGCACACACTCGGTTCTTGGTAAATATTTGAATGAATATTCAAAAGCTTAGAAGAATTTTTCAGTTCTCAATGAGAACTTACATTTAAGGCCATCCTCATTCTGAGACAGTGGTTAGGGGAGCTATGATGAACCAAGTCCAAGCTAAAGTTATGAGGGAATAGAAACTGAATAAGCAAAGGAAGCACATTGGTGGGGAGGGGAGTGGAGGATTGACATTGAGGGATGCCCACCGTTTTGAGCAGTTCACATAGTCTGTGAGCACACCCAGAGTGGCTGGTTCCTGGTACTTTGCTTCCTGGTGGATTTCCAGATCCAAGGCATCTACAAGCTCAAAATAAGTCCCATTCTTTTGGAAGCAACTCAGGTGGGCCTATATTTTCTTTTAAACCAGGTGTTTTCTGGAATCCAGGAGATGGGCCCTAACCCTACGTAGCACTTCAAGAGTTGCTGCACCAAAGGTGACTTTGGTTTACTTACTATGTAAATGTATTGAGTTTTTGAATGTCACCAGCGAATGGTTTGTCACATCAACTGAAAAGGTTTTATGGGTATAGAGCTGCCTTCCCTTACTAACCTGTTAGGGATGTTTCTTTTTCAACCATCTTTGAACTTCACCTTTTGGTATAAGACTTTAGTAGTGTCAATATCTACTGGCATAGGTGAACTTTTCTAGGCACATTTTGTTTTTGTGACTCAAAAGAGGACAGTCCATATTTCTGTCTACTGAGGAGGCTTCTTTATTTTTCTTTATTTATACTGCAGTTAGGTTAAAGGGATTCCTATTCTTATTAAAATTTCATTTAGTAAGATGTGGCATAAAAGCAGAGTTCCAGGAAGCCAAGACATTAGATATGCAATAGATCCCTTTACTTGTGCTCCCAAATTGAGTCTGTAAGATTTCAGGGCTTTGATGATGAAACAAATAAGACAGGGACAAGGAAAATGGCTCAAGATACAAAAGAATTGGGTTGGCTTCCCTTACTACACCTCCTTATATAAGTAGGAAGGAATAAGGCACCTACTTCAAAGACCAAAGCAAGATCCCATCATCTTTGCTTGACTAATAACTATGTCTAGGTTAGAACTGTAAGTGCTTATAAATGATTAGAATTTATCTTTCTACATTTTTGGCTGTTGTCAAAATAATTACTAAGCTGTGTTAGTAATACAGGTAAGATCAGTGGTCTTTGGAACAAGGGCAGTGGTGGCGTGTACTCTGGGTGCCACACTAGATGATGTATTAAATTATGGAAGAAAATCATATAATTTTATTTTTTAAGTTAAGAAAAGTACAGAGAGAAGAGGCTTTATTGATATCAATCTATGGATTACCACTGAAACACCCAATCCTGATTTTCCGTATACTGAGCAGAAATGTGTGATGGATGAGTGAGTGGAAGGAAAGAGAAATGAATGGCATTTCCAGAAATAGGAAGGGCTGACACTGGGACCCTCCCTTTCTTGTCATATTTAGCCCATTGTGAAATATGCCATTTGAGTGTATTGGTTGAGTGGATTTATGGACTGTATTTAGTTTTGGTTAAACAACTTTCATAAGATGCTGTTTTAAAAGAACTGCTATATATATATATATAAACAACTGGTGAACTGAGGATAACACCAATGGGTAAGCACAAGCAACAAGAATATGGGAATCATGAATTTGCTTCCTAGTTGGAGCTTTTCCTATAGTACTTGATGAGATGAAATTGTGATCTGATGATCGTGATGATCATGTTGTTAAACAAAATGTCAGGATTACTCACAAGGCTATTACATCAACTATGACTCTTCCCTGAATGAATATGATATCCTGAAATATTAGCTATGGTAATATGTTGTTGCTCAGTTGTTAGGTGCTGTCAAGTCAGTTCTGAGAGTCATAGTGACCCTATGCACAACCCTGTGTAAAACAGTGCCCAGTCCTGCCCCGTCCTCACTGTTGTCGCTGTGTGTGAGCCCACTGCTGCAGCCACTGTGCCAGTCTATCTCACTGACCCTCTATTTGACCAATCATGTTATCCTTCTCCAGGGACTGGTCCCTCCTGATAACATCTCCAAAGTACATGAGATGGTGCCCGGCTACCAATGCCAACCACTGAGGAAGGGATCAAAACTGGAGCTCCTTGATAGAGTGGGAGAAAGAATGTAGAACAAAATTCAAAAACAATGACCAGAATTACTGGTGAGATGGAGTCTGGTGGGACACCCCCCCACACACAAGACTGCGGCCCTAGGATATACTTTGGGCCTGCGATAAGACTCACTCCCAAGGACTGGCTCTCAGCCCAACAGTAGTAAGACTTACATGCAGAACACCCAACCCAGGGCAATGCACCCACTTACTCTATGGAGATATGTCCTTTGGAGCCATCAGCCATGGGACACCAAAGGGGCACCATTCATGTGGAGGGAAAGTAGGACAAACAGGAGTGCATAACTAAGAAGGGCACAGTGATGGGGGGGTGCAGGTCACAGGGAAGGGAGAGGAGAGAGGGTTAGGGTTGGGGATGGTCATTGGGGAGTGAAACCAAACGTACATCAACTGTTGACTGTACAACAAAATCTACTTGGTAAATTTGCACCCAAAGCACAATGAAAAAAAAATAAAAGTGAAAAGGGAAGATCCTCAACGAGATGGGTTGGCACAGAGGTTGCAACGATGGGTCAGGTATAGCAAGAATTGTGAGGGTGGTGCATGACTGGTCAGTGTTTCATTCTGTTGTACACAGGGTCTCTGAGTCGGCACTGACTCGACGGCACCCAACAACAGCAACAGCAGTCTGCCATTCACTGAGTTCTATAACCTACAAGGTTAACTTTGATTCAGCTGCGTATGTTGGTGCTGGCACAAGAGAGAAGAGGTTCTCCTAAACCTGTCATAGACACACTCTTGTCTTCTGATTTTGCCTTGAGCCCCCATTTTGTAGTTTTTTGTCTTTAAGCTCCCTAGTGTGATGAGAAGTGGCTAACGTTTTTCCATAATCCTAAATTCTTCCTATCTGTCCTGGAGGAAGTGC